CTATCAGGAAGCTCTCACATTTTGTTGAGGCTTTAAACAGAATCCATCGGACCAGACCTCCATCCTAAAAAATTACTTTTCCCCAATGTATTACAGTGCCAATTCTGAAGAAGACAGAACCCAAATGTACTGGTAAATTACAAGGAGAACACACAAACACACACACACACTCCCTTCTAACCCTGCTGGAGCAGGTGATTGGACTAGAATAGATATCTCATTATATTTCTCCTCCCTCCCTCCCTCTTTCTTTTTCTTTCTATCCCTTCCTTCCATTCCCCCGCCCCACTCTTTCTTTGTCCCATTTTCTTTCTGTCCCTTTTCTCTTCCTCTTCTTCCTTCTCTCTTTCCCTCTCTCAGGCTCACCCCATTGACTTCGTGCACCGCTCCGTCCGGACTTGCTTGCGCAGCGGCCTCCGGTGCAAGGGGCTCAATGGGGTGATCCTGCAGGGCCTTGCCCCGAACGCAGAGAGCAAACCAGAGCGGCTTTGCTCTCCTTTTCAAACATCCCACCGCAGCATTGGGAAAGGAGAGTATCTGCGTTTGAGCGACGGTGGGATGTTTGAAAAGGAGAGCAAAGCGGCTCTGGTTTGCTCACCTTTCCCAACGCTGCGTTTGGGGCAAGGCCCCATTGAGCCCCTTGTACCGGAGAGTACAAGTCAATGGGGTGGTCCTGGGGGGCCTTGCCTGAGACGCGGCGGCGGAGGGATTTTTTCCTCACCCCTGAATCGTTCTTCCCCACTGTCCGATTCTGCTGCCGTCAGCACAGGCTGCCGGCAAACAACAACACCATAATCCCTGTCATAAATAGGAACCACTTGCCGAGCATCCAAATTTTGCTCTCAGGACCACGGAGATGTTGCAACGGTCGTAAGTGTGGGGAAATGGCCGTAAGTCACTTGTTTCAATGTCGTTGTAATTTCAAAAAGTCACTAAGCGAGCCGTTGTAAGTTGAGATGAGAAAGAAATCCTAGTTGCTTACAGCCTTCAGATACATTTCTGAACTCCTTTGCTATAGAAAGTTAAGCAAAGGTACAGGTTCCCCTCGCACATCCGTGCTAGTCGTTTCCAGCTCTAGGGGGCGGTGTTCATCTCTGTTACAAAGCTGAAGATCCAGTGCTGTCCGAAGACGTCTCCGTGGTCATGTGGCCAGGAGGACTAAACGCCAAAGGGCACGGAACGCTGTTCTCTTCCCACCAAACGGGTCCCTATTTTTCTACTTGCATTTGTTTTACATGCTTTCAAACTGCTAGGTTGGCAGAAGCTGGGACAAGGAGCGGGAGCTCACTCCAATACGCAGCGCTGGGGATTCGAACCGCCAACCTGCCGACCTTTCTGGTCAACAAGCTCTGCATCTTAGCCACTGAGCTGCCACCGTGTTCCTTAGAAAGTTAGAACCCAGCCATGAAAAAGGAATAAGTTTCCAGCAACAAGAAATAAATAGAAATAAATGCTACTAATGGGCAACGTGTAATATAGGAAGGGTATTTATTGCTTGGGAAAATGGAAATAACATCCTTCAAGATAGCCCCAAGGAAGGAAATGCTAGTTTTTAAGACAGTATAATTTGTAAAACAAAAAAACCACTTTTCTTTGGTAACTGTACTGTTGACTGAAACCCAATTTTTATGTCGGAGAACAAAGACATCCCATCTCAAATACAGCAATAACGATAACGCCAAGAATTAAAAACCCTGAATTGGCTTGAGTAAACGTCATCTCGGTTGGGACACATAAATTGCCATAATTGTGTTTCTCTGGCGGGTTGGGCCCTCCAGAACCCCACTGACAAGAGTGACATAAATCTCCGGCTAATGTAGGAAATGGTCGCTTGTTCTCTGGAATAGATTTCAGCCCGATTCTCAGAAAACAATTTTGTGGCCTTAAAAGACCGGGCTACTCCGAGGTCACTTCCCCCAAGACTGTTATTCCTCCTCCCGCGGAGCAAAGCAAACAAATGGTTGCTAAGTCAAGGACTACCTGCATTCCTTACCGGCAGGAATATAAACCCACTGGTTTTAAAACTAGTTTGTTTGTTTTTTTTAATTAAATCAGTTTCTCAAATGTTATATGACTTTCGGATCTGTATCTGTATCTACATCTCTCTATATCAATCAATTATATCTATTTATCTCTATCTATACATCTATATCTATCTGTATCTATCTGTATCTATCTATACATCTATATCTATCTATAAATCTCTCTATTTCTCTATCTATATATTTATATCTATATCTATTAATTTATATCTCTCTCTATATATATATATCCATCTATATATCTATCTCTATCTCTATCATCTATCTCTATCTCCCTATATATCTGTCTATATCTATCAAATCTACATATCTATATCTATCTCTATCATCTATATCTCTATCAATCTATCTATAGCTATATCT